TAAAAGTAGCTATTTAAATTTATTATTACACACACACACACACACACACACACACACATATATATATATATATATATATATATATAAAGTTTCTAAAATTTTATGGTACATATTAGTCATTTGTATTTTTAGTCTAGCTCTTTGCTATTATATTAATCTAATTCTATGCCTTTACATTCTAGTTTGATTGGTAGTTTTCTTTTGCATGTTAAAAATAATCGATTTTTAATTGAGTATTTAAATTATTCGTCACTATTTGATTCAATTATCATCAATATATCTTGGTAAATGATAGATTTCTCAAAAAGCAATTGATTTGATAGTGTTACATTAAAAATGTGGTCGTCGGAATATGCATTTGGTAGTATGTCTCATATTTAAGAAAAAACCCGATAAATAACAAAACAAACTGAAAAACAGACAAAAACCGACAAAAACCGAATCGATAAAAAATGACTTAATTGGTTTGCTTTGGTTCCAATATTTGAAAAACCGACTTACTTGGTTTGGTTTCTTTTTAGGGAAAAACCGACCCAAACTGAATCATGTATTTTAATTTGATGTAGTAGGTAATCGATCAGTCTTATTTCTCAAGTTACTAATCTCACTTTTTAAGTACGATTAGGTGTAATTATCTTTCAAATAATTAACATGATAAAATTCTTTTACGTGCATTGATGTTAGGCTAAAAATCCATATTTTCACATGTAATTTGCCTTGCATTATACCTCAATCTTATTAACTTTAGTGTAAATATTTGTGACTCGAGCTTAATAACGGTGTTTATATGTGTAGGAGTCAATTGAAGTGATTTGGGAAACTTGCATGCAAAGTGAAGTAAAAACAAAAATATTTGGAGGGAGTATGAGTTTGGTGCCTGGTTTGGTGCCAGGCACCAACCAAAACACCAAAGGCAGAATGTAAAAAGTTTTGGTGTCCTAGTTGGCGCTAGGCGCCAAGTGAGACGGCTATGGACGAGTTTCACCCTACACGCCCCCAACATGTATAAAAGGGGTTCTAAACCTATTTTTTAAGGCAGAAAGGATTAGAGAGGAAAATGGAGCCGCCACTCTTGAGGCAAGAACACTTTGGGGAGGCAAGAACACCATAGGAGCAAGGAAAAGGATTCAACTTTAAGTTTTTCCCTCTTTCTTCTTCTATTTCCATTATCAGTTATGAATTCTAGTATTGTAGTTATGCATACTATTATGAATAACTAGTTTGTTATTTAGAGTTTTGATAGAACCTTTTGTAGGATAAATTCGTGTTATATTTTTATATAATTGAGTCGTTGGATTCCTCTACTTGTTCAATTACATATTTATTATTGTTGATTGAATGACCATCAATTAACTATGCCTATTTAGTTTGTATATTGCTCGAGAGAGAATATGCATTTAGGTAGTTGTTGAACATCATCACTCCTAACGTATGTGAGAGATCAATACGGAGGGTTTAAAGGTGGGTTAGAGATAACGAAGCGTTGGTGCGATCCTAGTGAGCTGTAAATTAGTGCCAGCTAGAGTAGTTTGAGAGAATATGTCTAGTAAATTGTGCTAGTTGCTCGAGAGAGAGTTACGACAACCAAAGTACTCACGATTGGTAGAGAATACTTAGGCGAAATTATATAAGGCGTAGCGGGAAGGATTCCGACAATTGAGAAAATAATAACTCTAGACCTCCTTAGGCTTGTCTCCAATTTCATCCTTATTAGTTGATAATTTTACTGCTTTATAATATTTGTTAGTTAATTAGTAGAAATAAAAATTAAATCTTTATAACTAGAAAATTATTTGGACTTGTGTTTCTTAGCAATATTGAACAACTGTAGCTAAGCCTTAGTTTTCTGTGGGATTCGACTACGAACTTCTAAACCGGATTATATTTACAACGATCGCTTAGTCCTTTTTATAAGGCATAGTTGGGAGTGATCAAATTTTGGCGTCGTTGCCGGGTAACTAACGGTGTAGCTGTAGGTGTACATATTGCTAGGTTGCAAGTTTGAACTTTTTATTTTTTTTTCTCGTATTTGATTTTTTTAAATTTTTTTGTTTTACTTATTGATTTTAGAAACATGGAATCTTGGAATTATGAGAATTTTGATGGTTTTAATTGTACTTTTGATCCTCCTTATACATATTGTGGAGGAAACCCCTATGGCATAATTATCAAAATATTCTCGAGAGCGAGTTGTGTGCACCAACTCAATCTTATGTGTGGAATGTGTGTGATATGTGTGGTGGTCAAGATGATCACTTTAATGGTTGTGCTTATATTTCTTATCTTCCCCCAATCCCTTACTTTGATGGTTCTTCATTTTCTTGTGAAGGTAATACGAACAAAGAACCCAAGGATGAGGTCTTGAAAGAGATCAAGGATATGCTAAGGTGTCTTGTGGAACAAAATAATGAGCAACAATTTCACATACAAAGGCAAGATGCTACAATTCGCGACTTGGAGGCACAAGTGAGTCAACTAGTTGAAACATTTAATGCTCAACAAGCCAATATTGTGGATAGTAGCCAAGAAGAACATGAATTAGATACCAAAATTGAGGTTCTAATGGAGGAAGTCAGAGTAGAACAACAACAATCAACCAAACTAGAATTTGAGGATGTCGATATTGTAGAAGAGATACTAGAGTCAACCAAGTATATTGAGGATACATATTTAGTTGACTCTAGTGTCATTGGTGTTGAGGATGTAGACAATCCCAGTGTTCATGTAGTTGAGCGCATTGGTCCACACTCCAAGTATTTTTCTATATTGTGTTTGGATGATGATATAAAAATATAGTCATCTGAGCCACTTGAGGAGTCAAGGAATGAGGAACAAGGTGACTGCATTCTGGAATTCATCTTGCTAGAAAATCGGGATTTCACACCTCATCTAAAGGCCAAGAAGTGCAGAATATTACATTGCTTCATTGGGCCAGTTAGATTCGTTCCACCACCCCAGGAGTATAATCATAATCTTGAAGCAAAACTTGGGGTCCAATTCATAAGTTCGAAATTGAGGCAAAAAGTGATTCATGTCGTGCCGTGACGTTAAATCAAGCGCTTGTTGGGAGGCAGCCCAATTTTTTTGTTTTCGTCTAGTTGTCATTTAGTTTTTTTTTTAAAATTAGAAGTAGTTCTGCGCCCAGCTAGGCGTCGGGCGCCAATGAAAACAGCAAAGGCAGAAACAAAAATGCACAGCTGCCTTCTTTAGTGCGGAGCACGGATAAAAACGCCCATGTAAGTCCCCTACCCGTTTTATCCCAAACCCGTCACCCCACCCACTAATAATAAAACATTACCCCAACCCGACCCATCTCGCCCCAAATCCCTAACCCCTACCCGCCTAGTTCTCTCTCTCTCTCTCTCTCTCTCTCTCCAAAATTCCTTTCCCCCGCTTGCTGCTTCTTCTTTTCTCAAGCACAAGGTGAGTAATTCTTCTTTTTTTTTTTTTTTTTCTTGTTGTCTTTTCTTCTCTTTATGTTTTAATTACTTTTGGATTTTGTATTCTTATGTGTTTTATCATCTCTCCCTCTGCTTTCCCCCCAAACTTCCCATAGAGTAGAATGTTGGCAATTGTG